CAGGGCGGTCGGTCCCTGTGCGGGGACAGGGCGGTCCCTGTGCGGGGACAGGACAGGGCGGTCCCTGTGCGGGACAGGGCGGTCGGTACCTGTGCGCGGGGGTGGCGGGACGCGCCGCCGCCAGCAGCGGAGGCGGCAGCAGCAGTAGCAGCAGCAGCAGCGGGACGGCGGGCGGCATCTCAGGGCGGCAGCGGCGACTGGGGCAGGGCTGGGGCCGCGGAGCCGCTACTCCGACCGCTGCCTGCTCCTCCTGTGGCTGCCAGGGCCGGGGGAGGAGGCAAAGGCTTCCGCCGCCCTCCGCCCCCAGGGCAGGGGCCGGGGCAGGGCCTCCGTCTCTCCCGCGCGGGGCGCGGGCGCTGCCCGGGGTGTGCCCGGCCCCGCCCCGGTGCCGCCGGGGCTGCGGGCTCGGCCCGGGGTGTGCCCGGCCCCGCCCCGGTGCCGCCGGGGCTGCGGGCTCGGCCCGGGGCGCCCCGGCCCCGCGCACTCCCGGCGCTGCCCCCGCGGCTCCGCCTGGAGCCCGCAGCCCCCCGCGACGCCCCGCTGCCGTCCTCAGGTGGCACAGTGCGGGTGTTTGTCCCGAGCATGAATGAACTCAGTGTTACCGGCTGGGCAATCGTCTGCAGCTCCGCCAAAGCTTGAAAAATAGTAATGCTGCTTTGAAATTTCTTCTTTATTTAAATTCTAAAGTAAACTTGAAATGCTTCGTTTTGTTTACCAATGGGTAATCCTGACCCATTTAGTAGCCTTTTCACTCTGGCTGTGAAGGATACTCTTTAAAAGGCTGTGGCAGCGCATGCGGTGATGAACTCAATACTTGGGTGTCTTGCAGATTTTGGGCCAAAGTTGTTCGACTGAGAAAAGAAATTAAAAATTAAGTCAGTATTCTTATTTTGAACACAGTATTCTTGTTGGACATGGCATTTGAAAAACACCACATTGTTAGTGCTATTGAACAATGACATACAGATTATCACATCAATAAGTGATAATTTATGTTCTGAGTGTTGCTTTAAAAAGAACCTGTTCCTCTTACTGTTTTTAAGTACTTCTTCCCATATGTGCCTCTTGCAGGAGAAGGAGGTAAGTCTGTAGAAGTGCTCAGGCACAGCCAGTTGAACAAACTTGAGGAACTAAACAGAAATTCTCCTGCATATAAGGAAGAATATAAGCCTATTCTCTTATTTTTAGCTCATTTATTGAGCACTTAACATTCTTATTCCTGCAAAATACAAAGAAGAGCAGTCTCACTACCAAAATGTTAAAGAAGTGCTGTTGATTAGAGATGGTGTTCTGAGGATTGAACAGGAATTGGATGCTGCAGTTCAGCAGTCATGATACCTGTACTCTGCTTTCCACAGTGCTGGGTAAAGGAGGCAGAAGATTAATCTGAATTCATGCTTGCTACATTTCCAAGAGGGATTTTGTGGGAGAGAAGGTGCAGCTGCTATTGGAATGTCCCAGATCTTTGGAGGCAGCCTGCAAGACGACTGGTGAGTAAGAGCAGTGTTCCTGTGTGCACAGAGGCACTGGAAGACAAGAAACAGCAGAGGCTGGTGGCTGTGTGGGTTTGGCAAGGCCAGGTTTTTAGGAATGCAGGTGTGTTGGCAGCCAGGTGTGAGGGCTTCAGGAGAGGCTGCCACACATCCTCCCAGTGGGACTGGAGGAAGGAGAAGGACACATCTAGGCAAGACTTGGTGCAGGGTTGGGGCAGGAAGTCCAGTTCACAAAAAGGGGGCTGTGGAAACAGAGAACATAACATTGCAAGATCAAAGACAATGTTTGGAGTTGGGTTTTGAGCTGATTTTGAGTGACAGAAATGAAAAGTAAGAAAGTTAAATAAAAAGGAGACATTTACTTTTACCATGACCAATGAGATGCTGGTTAACAGCTAAAAGTTTAACTACTGCCACTAGGTATATTGGGTGTCGTCATGAAGGTATAATAATGATATATTATATTAGGTATAATATATTATAATGATAATAAAAATTGCTATGTCTGGAATTCAATGTGTATGACAGAAAGTTGTATAATCCTCACAACACAGACACATGAGTTCCTTGCTGCTCCTTTCTGTCAATGTGTTTTAGTCTAGAGACAACCCTCTATTTTGTAAGAATATTTCAGGCCTTATATCCACTGAAGAGCTGTGCTCCATGCAAAACCACCACCAAAGGCTGTTAGATCCCATGGATTGCATGTCTGAGGATTCCTTTTGTATGTGGCTTCTGCAGATTTTGCCTCATCTAAAGGTAGTTTTACACTTCTGAACAGTTAACACCTTCAACAGGTTCTGCATTGCCACCCAAGCATATCTACAGATCTGCTCAGCAACAGAGCGATTCAGGCCCTTGAGCAAATTGAGGTGATGAACAGGCTGCTGGGAAAGCTCCCAGCCCATGCACAGCCCGTGCAGCCAAGCTCCTGCACCTTTGCCAATCAGGAAAACATCAACATCACTCCCTGGCACTGCCTGTCTGGGAGCACACCCTAAATGTGTATTGCCTAAACACCCTGAATCTAGTGTGCTCAAGTACTTCTTTAGAGCCCACTATTAAATAGATCATGAATACCACAAGTAGTAAATGACAGACTATAAACAAGGCTCTCAAATTAAACTGCATTTACCAAATGTAAATTATGTTGCTAGAGAGAGTTCACCCACAAACTAACCCAGAGGTGTCTGGCTGGTTTCCATCAATGGCTGCAGAAGGAACAGAAAAGTAAAAGGCCAGTAAGAAGTTACCCATAAATAAATGTGTTAGCATTGACATTAATCTTCAGCTAAATTATGATCTGTTAGGAACACAGAAACAGGAGTGACCTTTCGTCTTCTCCAAGCCTAGTCCTCTGCTCTTGCAGGGAACCAAATAAAACAAACCATTTTATATACTGATGATATTTCATTTTTGAAGTCAGGAAGCTGCTCAATCAGCATCTGTTAGAATCCCTATCTTTTTGGGATAAAACCATGGAATGCACACTTAGGAATTGTTTGTAGGTAGTGGATATAAATTCTGCTAGAAAAGTTTTAAGCTTAGCCCCAGAAGATGGCAGATTTACAGTCTCATGCAATCTTAATTATGCTGCCTTGTGTATGTATTCTTTACACAAATGATGCATAGGTTATGTGACAAAAACAGTATGAAGTTGCATAAGCAGAGTGTCTTTATTAATGTGGACAAAAGATGTCTAACTTTCGACAGTTGACATTGCAGCAGAAGTTTTCTACAGTAGTTTATTTTCGAAGGTAATAAAAAATATTTTTTGTCATGTGTCCCTGAGGTGACAGACCTCCAGGCTTGGAATGATGAATCTTTAGTGACAGACATTTAATGTAGGAGCTACAGAGCTAGTGCCATAGTAATTATAAAAAACGCCTGGTGTCACAGGGGGTCATTGCCTCCCGCAGTGGTCTGGCAGAAATGCCAGCCTGAGTGACCCCTCTTCCCCACCAGCTGCTGCCAGCAATCCTGGGCTCAGTTAGGGATGCTGGTGATCCAGGGGTGAGGGCTTCTCCCTATCAGTCACTGAAGAATGATATTTTGTATACAAAGCTGACAAGAGACGAATTTCCTAATGAATGTCTGGCAAGTGAGACCTTGTCTGCCTGAAAATGAGACAACTACTGAAGTGGATAGTGGAAACTGAAATGTAACCCTGTGTGACAGACTGTCCCTGAGATGTTCTTTGAAAAGACTGTGTAAATGTTGGTGCAAACCTCCTGTGCCTCATCTATCCCATGTATATATATTCTCCCTGACATCTTCCTTCTGACAAAGTTAATTATAATGTTGCTGTGGAGCTGCCAAAGTGGCCTGATGACCTGACTGAACATGAAGCTTACTTTATACTCCAGCTTTCAGGCTTCTCACCAAATCTTCTTTTCTCTGTGGAGAGCCACCTGGACAAAATACCTTGGCATTTTGTACCATGGCAAAAGACCTTTCAGTACTCTCTTGGTGTTTCTGTACAAGCCCTGTTCAGCTGACACTGTGAAATTAATCTAAATTTATATAAATACTATCAACAACCAGTCTTTATTTAATTTGAATCATAGAATGATTTGAGTTAGCAGGGACCTTTAAAGGTCATCTAATCCAACACCCCAGCAATGAGCAGGGCCTAGATGAAGTTGTTCAGAGCCCCACTCAATCTGACCTCAAATATTTCCAGAGATGGGGCATCCACCACTTCTCTTGGTGTTGCCATCCTCATAATAATAATAAAAAAATATTTCCTCATATCTTATCTGAGTTTACACTCTTTTAGTTTAAAACCCTTACTCCTTGTTCTATTGCTACAGGCCCTATTAAAAATTTCCACCTCATCTTTCTTGTAAGTCCCCTTCACTTATTGAAAGGCTGCAATAAGGCTGCTCTTGAGCCTTCTCCAGGCTAAACAACCCCAACTCTTTCAGTGCAGTCTTAAGTGCCAAGATCTCGATATTTTCCCTTCCAAAAGAACTTTGGTATTTCCTGCAATTGCAAGTTGTCCCTTTTCATAATAGCATTGGAAAACATGCAATAGAGAGGATTTATCCCTATTTTCTTGAAAATTCAAGCACCTAAAATTACTCTTGCAAACTGATATACCAGCCAGTTCCTAGGATTCCTAAATTTGCTTAGATCTGTAAGACAAAGAGTTAGCCATATTACACCTTCAACTGAATCTGCTACTTCACAGAAATAAAAATCCACACAAGAACTGTCACTGGAAAACTTGCAGAGCCTCCACCCTTCCCCAGGCTGAAAATTTCACTCTTCTCTTTTTTTGTCTGTCAAGTTTTGCTCTTGGCTCATTTATCAAATGACAATATGGTTTCTGGCTTTATATAAAAATGTCTGTGATGAGCCATAGACCTCTCCTTCCCTACTTCTTCTGATACTGAGGTACCAAATGTAAATATAGTATTAACAGTATTCCCACGTCTTAGGAATTTAGGAAATCATTAGGACCTAAGCTTACATTCTTTAATTAACTTCTTTTTGGTCTCTTTGCTAGTTTTACCTCAAGTAATGTCATATTTAATACAAAACTTCATATTTCAGTTTAGCATTGAGCAGAGACCGGACATGATGCATTAATCATAAAAGCAGTAGAGTTTTTCAGTATGAGTTTTCTAAATTACCTTCTGGTGTTTCCATTTGTCAGCTTGGGTAATTCTAATATCAGTTTCTACTTGCCTCCTCTCTTTATAGGAATACAAACGGATATAATTTTTTTTTTTAAATGTTTTACCTTCTATTGTTCAAAGTCAGTTGCTTATTTGCCAGCTTAAGAAAAATATTAAGGAGAATTGTGCTGATTTATCATTACTTGAACTGTTTTGCATCATAATATAAAAATTATAAATTAGATGATTACTGCTAAATTGCAAACATTCCTGTAACCAAAGAGATCTAATAAATATCAAGCAGGATGCTTGAAATATTGATAATGTGAGCAGATGCTCCTTCATAGTACAAGACCCCTAAAAGATTGTTTCAACACTTCCAGTGAAGCATCCCAGGGTCTATTGACCAAGAGCAGGCACTTACAATGACAACACAGCGTTCACACAGCAGGGTGAAATGGCTAAAGTACTGATCAGAATAATGGATTCTAAAAAAACCCATTTTTAGCAAGTGCTATATCCCTAATAGGGCATTTTAAACATAATAGTCCAAGACAAATACTCAACTCTGAAAGGAACAGGAGCATAAAGTATGGAGTAGAGGGCCCTAAAATAAAAAAAGGCAGAGCCCCTGAACTGGCAGTGAGTACCTGTGAATCAGGCAGCCCCATGGCCAAATCTTCCAGACAGAGAAGAGAGGAGAGGAGCAAGGCAGCTCAGTCTCGTCAGGTCAAC